AACATGTATAACTTCCAAAGCAGTAGAGAGAAAAAATGGAATGAGAAATAAACCTCAATTCAGAATTGATTTTGATACCAGCTTCATTGCTTAAGGAGTGGTGTTGGACCACAGTTTTATCATCTGTAAAAAGCTTCAATTTGGCTTCTGTCCCGTCATACCATTTAAACAACCTTGCTAAACGGGGGGGCCGGCCCTGTGGCCTAGTGGTTAGGTTCGGCGCACTCCTCTTCGCTGTCCCGGGTTCAGTTCCCCCAGTTGGGACCTACACCACATGTTGGCCGCCATGCTGTGGCGGCGACACGTACAAAATAGAGGAGGATTAGCACAGATGTTAGCTCAGGGCAAATCTTCCTCAGCAAAAAATAAATAAATAAACAACCTTGCTAAAGGTAATTGACGATTGTTTAAATGCTAAATCAGTCCTTGTCATAGTTAGGTAACTAGTTCTTAATCTTTTTCTTTACATTACAAAAGATAAAGAATATAGCAGTTTGGGGGCCGGCTCGGTGGCGAAGTGGTTAAGTTGGTGTGCTCTGCTTCCCAGGCACCGACCAATGCACCATTCATCAAGCCATGCTGTGGTGTCCCACATACAAAAATGGAGGAAGATGGGCGCAGATGTTAGCTCAGGGCCAGTCTTCCTCACACATACAGACACACAAAAAAGGCTAAGATGGTAAATTTTATGTTATGTATTTTTTTTACCACACAAAAGATTATAACCATAGGATGAACAAAAAATTGGCTTTTCAAATGAAAGACAAATACTTTTCCTTCTGAAAAGAAACATTAATGTTTGGGGTCACTCAGATAAAGATTTGTAATCCTCTACTTCCTAACATTCAGTTCCAAGTTACTAACAAGGTCGAGTTTAACTGGAGTTAGTGGAAAATAATAAAATTTGCAGAGAAACATCTGAAGAAAAATAAAACTGAGCTCTTTTTTTTTTCTCATTTAAATCTGCAGTGGAAATTTTAGTTGGCAGAAAGAAGCCAGGTCCTGATTCAAAAGAATTCTATTGATTGTAGATACCTACTTTTAATTTTAGATAGTTTTTTTGTGTGTGAGAGGAAGATTAGCCCTGAGCTAACTTCTGTCACCAATCCTCTTTTTGCTGAGGAAGACTGGCCCTGGGCTAACATCCGTGCACATCTTCCTCCACTTTATATGGGACGCTGCCGCAGCATGGCCTGACAAGCAGTACATCGGTGCGCGCCCGGGATCCGAACCTGCGAACCCCGGGCTGCCGAAGCGGAGCACGTGCAGCCAACCGCTACACCACCGGGCCGGCCCCATAGATAGTTTTTTAAAAAACATTAAACTCTTTTAGGTAAAAGTACAAGGCAAATCACTGAACTTTTTAAAAATTTACCTGCCAGTTTTTCAGTACATTTAAAGATTTTTATTTATTTTTTGCCCCCAAAGCCCCAGTACATAGTTGTCTGTCACAGCTGTACATGCTTCTAGTTGCTGTATGTGGGACTCGGCCTCAGGCTGGACAGAGAAGTGGTGCCTTGATGCACACCCGGGATCCGAACCCGGGCCGCCAGCATCGCAGCGCGCGCACTTAACCACCAAGCCACAGGGCCGGCCCTTTCAGTACATTTTATTGAAGTATAACATAATACAAAAAGTGTACAAATAGTAAATGTAGTACAGCTGAGTGAATTTTCACAAAGGGAAGTTAGAAACAAAGCACTTATGTGGAACCCAGAGCTCCTCTTTTAGTCACACTCCTCCCATCAAGGGTAGCTCTTCTGATTTGTAACATCACAGATTAGTTTTTCCTGTTTTTGAACTTGATATAAATGGAATTGTTCTGTATGTAGTTATGTTTGGCTTCTTATGCTTAACATTATGAGAATCATCCACCTTCCATGTTCTTGTAGTGATTTCTTTCTTTCTGCTGTATAGTGCTCCATTGTATGAATATGCCACACTTTATGCATTCTATCGTAGGTGGACATTGAACTTGTATTTATTTGTAAGCGTACTTTAAAACTTTCTAGGGGAAATGATAGATGATGCTAAATTTCTGTGATGACTAGGACTCGGGAAAACTGGATTCTGTTTCTGGCAGCCGCTGTGGCCCTTGGTTTTCTCATGTCCCATGATGGCAGTAGCGGGGACAAGTTAAGATTCATTCTTTTAGGAAAATTTTGTGAAGCAGTTTTCTTTCCTCCCAGGTTACAAGCATATTTTCACTATATTTATTGAGCATTTGTTTTTGTTACTAGAGGTACTGTGGTTAAGGAGACAGAAGAGGTCTCTGTTCTCAAATGGAGCTTTCATTATTGGGGTAGAGACAATAAATATATAGATTTGAGAATGTCAGTGATAAAGTGCTATGCAGATAATTATTTTAATTTGCCCTATTTTAAGGTGATGTGAGAGTAACTGGGTGCTTACTTTAGATTGGGTGGTTAGAGATTGCCTCAATGAGACGAATGACAAGGGACCCGCTATATGAAGATTTAGCAGGGAAACTTCATGTAAATAGGGATAGCAGAGGATATGGGTACCGATGCAAACAGGTTGGTAGGTTTGGTGGTTGAGGAAGGGAGACTTCCTAATTGTTCTTTTTGCTCAATGATGTGTGAGGCAAGATCTAGAAGTGAGGGGGAGTAGAGTACGGTGTAGGAGATTTGAGGAGAGAAATAGTCATTTTGGAGACTTGGACGACAGATATTCTAGGAACTGTGGTAGGATTGCCAGTGTTGTCCTCGTTTTAGATTTGTGGCCAAGAATTTAAAATGAGTCCAGTCAATGCTGTGGTATGTTTTCTTCGAATGTTCATTTAGCTGCTCTGCTGTAGCGGACACAGAATAGATGGCTGGAGGGTTAAGACCTCTTGTGGAACTTAAAATTTGTTTTCCAAAAGAAAAATCTGAATAGAATACTTTCTTCAGAGTGAGGGTTTGTGTTAAAGAAAAAACTATCTTGAAGATAAAACAACTGGAGATTTGCTTTTTTTTTTTCATATCTAGTTCTCCAGAAGCAACTACCTATTTTTGGTCTCTTGGTGCTTCCTCTCCTTCCGGTCAGATAGCAGTGTCTCCTCTGCATTCAAACATCCTAAAATGGATGCATTTAAAAACATTTTCTCTATCATATATCTCTGTTTAGCTACTGTCTTTGGTTCTTCCCGTCATAGCCAAACTTCTTTAGATAAGAGTCTGGATTCCTAATCTCTATTTTCTTCCCTCCTGTTTGCTTAATCTAACATGTATTTAATATATATTTTAGTGTATTAGGTTTTAGAGATACAAAGATGAATAATATCTCAGTTCCTGGTCATACATCACAAGATTAGGACAGATGTGTGCTGAGAGTATACACATTTGTTCAACCTGCCTCAGTCTGGCTTCTTTTCGAAAACTTCATGCCATGTGAACAACATTGCTAAAAGGAATCATTGATCATCTAAATGCTAAATTAGTCCTTACTGTTCTTAGCTTTCTAATTAGTTCTTAACCTTTCTGCTGTATCTGGTACCAGACACTCGCTCCTTAATTTTCTTTCCCTTTGATACTACCTCCATTTCTTCCCATCTCTGTTCTTTCATTGTTAACAATTGCTAGAATATATTGATTCTTTATGTGTCAAGCATTGAACAAAGTTTGTTGTGAACTTTCTCATTTAATTTTCAAAAAAAATCCTATGAGATAGGTACTGTTAATTATAGTTGAGGAAACTGAGACACTTCTCATGCTAAGTGGCAAAGTCACTTGTCCTAATCATACCCTAGTGATTCAGAACTGATCACTTATTTTAACAGATAATTGATTAGGTGCCAGACCTTGTTCTTGTTGCTAGGATACAGCTAGGCTAAGATAGACATGGTTTCTTTCCTTAGAGCTTAATCCTAATGGGGAATACAGTCAATAGGCAATTGGAATAGAGTATGAGTTATGATTGGGTCATATAGGTTACTAAATCATGAGTGTAATTGGGTAAGTTGCTTCTCTGTGAAATAGGAATATAGGAATATTGCCACCTGCCACAAGTTGTGTGTGTGTGTGTGTGTGAGAGAGAGAGAGAGAGAGAGAATTGAATGAAAATGCAATAGGTACTGCATGTGCTATGTCTGGCAGTCACATGTTTGCTCTGAATTGCCTGTTGAGCATTATCCATTTAGGTGTTTCTCAAAATCAGCTTGTCTTAATACGTAACCCCCTCAGTTTTCACTAATGAATCTTGTTCTTTTACCTTATTTTGGTTGGATAGCACTCAGTTTCCCAACCTCACAAATAAAGATTCTGGACTCTCCCTCTTTTCTTTTCTAATTTCCAAAGAGTCACCAATATTTAGCAGTTTGGTGTTCTGTAGCAGTGCTTAGAAATGTTAAGCTTTGAGGGCTAGATAGGAAAAAGTGAAGTGGTGGGGACTGTGGTGAGTTCTCCTCCCTTAAAGTGAGTGGTTCCTGTTCAACTTCAGCTGATTGTGTGAGCATGTAGGCTATATTGGTAGATATTCCAGTTTTTTAAAAAATTTTTTATTTGATGTCTCAATAGTTTATAACATTGTGAAATTTAGGTTGTACATTATTGCTTGTCAGTCACCATATAAATGCCTCCCTTCACCCCTTGTGCCCAACCCCCAACCCCCTTGCCCCTGGTAACCACCATACAGTTCTCTCTGTGTGTTGGTTTATATTCCACATAGATATTCCAATTTTTTAAAAATATTTTAATTATTTTTTTGAATGGGAAATACATTCCTGGTTCGAAATCCAGAAGAGTTGGTATACAGTGAAATGTCCTTCCAACCCTTATTCCCTAGTCACAGTTTTTCTCCTCAGTGTCTACCAATGTAAGGAATTTATTACGTATCCCTCAATGATACCTTATGCATACACAAGCAAATTGTATGTAGTTATTAATTCTACGTTGTATATAAATGGTAGCCTACTTGACACGTTTCTGAATCCTTATCCTGGAGATCACTCCTTATCAGCGCACACAGTTTCCTTAATTTTTTTTAATGATCTTGTCTTTTATTAACCCATATACAGTTACTTGTGTTCTGGTTTGTTGAAACAAGAGGTCAGACAACACTTGCCACAATAATGTCTGTCAAAGTGGCTGGCCATAAAAATCCTGCACCACCTTCATCTGAAGGGCATTCCTGACAAAGCAGACTGATTGTGCCGTTCTCATCCACCTTATAGTATTTCAGGACAGCCAGCTTAACCTTCTTTCTCTTATGCTTATTTTTGGGACCACCTGGAAGTCTCAACACAAGATGAAGAGTGTATTCCTTTTGAATGTAGTCAGACAAAGTACATCCAGCTTCCAGTTGTTTGCCAGCAAAGATCAGTCTTTGCTGATCAGGAGGAATTCCTTCCTTATCCTGGATCTCAGCCTTTACATATTCTGTTGTATCCAAGGGTTCAACCGTGAGAGTGGTGGTCTTCCCCAGAAAGGTTTTCATGAAAACGTGCATCTTGGCAGTGGTTCCACTGCAGGCAGCGGATCTGAACGCTGCCTAATTTTTTTATGGCTGCCTTGTATTTGATTCTGTGGCTGTCTCATAACAAGTTCCCTATTGATGGACATTTGAGTTGTTTCCAGTGTTGACTTATTACAAATTGTGCTACAGTGAATAACCTTGTAATAAACCATGGACTAGTATATCTGTAGGGTAAATTTCTACAAGTAGAATTGCTGGATCAAAGAAGGTTCATTTGTTATTTTTGGTAGATATTGCCAAATAGACCTTCATGGAGGTTTTGTGAATTTAAACTTCTGTTAGCAATATATGGGAGCACGTGTTTCTTCTACATCCTCCTCATTGACTACTGGATGGGTAAAAAATGTTTTCTCATTGTAATTTTGTGTTTCTCTTAAGAATAAGTGTGAGCATGTGTTCAAATGTTTGAGCTGCTCGTGTTTTGTTTTCTGTGAATGTGTTTATATCCTTTAATCTTTTCCTGTTGGGCTTTTTTGTCTGTTAATTGTAAGATTCTATGTGTATTTGCTAAGTTAACCTTTTGTGAAATGAATTAGATGGAGTAGAACTTATCGATCTTCCATGGTTTCTGAATTTAAAAAGGCCTTCTCCAGGTGGGTTACAAAATAATTCTCCTGCGATTCCCTCTAGTACTTTTCTGGTTTCATATTTTACATGATGATTTTTCCAGAGAAGCAGAAATTCAAATTTTTGTCTGATCTCTTCATAGTTTTAAATGTAGTAACTACCATAATTAACTTTTTTTTTTTTTTTTGTGAGGAAGATCAGCCCTGAGCTAACATCCATGCCAGTCCTCCTCTTTTTGCCGAGGAAGACTGGCCCTGAGCTAACATCCTTGCCGATCTTCCTCCACTTTATGTGGGACGCCACCACAGCATGGTCTGACAAGCGGTGTGTCGGTGCCTCGCCCGGGAGCGGAACCCCGGGCTGCCAGCAGCGGAGCATGTGCACTTAACCACTACGCCACGGGGGCTGGCCCCCCATAATTAACATTTAAAAATAACTGGATAAACATATCTATGGCCCAGATAAGACATGAACATCAGTTTTTAATTTTTGTTCTAACCCTGTAGTTCTGAGAGTGTGATCCCCAAACCAGCAGTATCAGGATCACCTGGGAAGCTGTTAGAAATGCAAATTCCTAGACCTCATAGACCTACTGAATCAGAAGCTCTAGGGGGTAAGGCTCAACAATCTTGTTTTAACACATTCTCCAAGTGATTCTCATGTAGACTGAAGTTTGAGAACCATTGCTTTAATTCATCTTTTCTCCTGACTACTAGTACTGCCTTAGTTCAGGCCCTTTTTATTTGTCTAGCCTGCTAAGAATGGAAGTAAATTTATCACTATTGAGTGCTTTACAATGCTATTTAATATTTTTACTGATTTCCTTGTTTGTAATTTTACCCACTTCAAACTATCTTTTGTACTACAGTCAGGGTATATAAACAGTAAATTTGATCATATACTTCTGCGACTCACTTCAGAATAAAAATTTAAAGTCTTAGATTGACACCAGAGCTTTTGGCTCCTGTATACCTATCCAGCATTGCTGCTGTGATATCTTGTGATAGAAACTGGGGGGAAGGAAGGTTACAAAGTTAAAAGTCCAGTTGTTGGAATTTGCATTATAGTTAGAGCAAGTGTTCTCCAAAATAGGGAGGAATTCAGCTTTAATAAATGACACAGGGCCGGCCCCGTGGCTTGGTGGTTGAGTGAGCGCGCTCCACTGCTGGCGACCCGGGTTCGGATCCCGGGCTCGCACCGGCGCGCTGCTTCTCTGGCCATGCTGAGGCCGCGTCCCACATATAGCAACTAGAAGGCTGTGCAACTATGACACACAGCTATCTACTGGGGCTTTGGGGGGAAAAATAAATAAATAAAATCTTTAAAAAAAAAAAAATAAAAAAAAAATAAATGACACAGAGGGGCCGGCCTGGCAAGCTGTTAAGTGCGCGCACTTCACTTCGGCAGCCAGGGTTTCATGGGTTTGGATCCCGGGTGCGCACCCGATGCACTGATTGTCACGCCATGCTGTGGCGGCGTTCCATATAAAGTAGAGGAAGATGGGCACAGATGTTAGCTAAGGGCCAATCTTCCTCGGCAAAAAAGAGGAGTATGGGCATTGGATGTTAGCTCAGGGCTGATCTTCCTCACCAAAAAAAAAAAAAAAAGAAATCAGTGATACAGGGATTGACACTCTGACAGTTACCTCATTTATGACTTTAAAAAAAATTAGGATGTTTTTATTGAGGTACAATTGACATATAACTTTATATTAGTTTCAAGTGTACAACATAATGAGCCAATAGTATATTGTGAACTGATCACCATAATAAGTCTAGATATGACTTATTTTTTCCAGTTTAAACTAGCTCTTACAAAGACAATATATCTTTAAAAGATTCCTGCTTAGAAATGTTGAGTTGAAGATGATAATGCAAGCACAAATAGCGAGAAAATAGAATTGACACTTCTATTTATAGCTTCTGCTCCTAGTTCTGTTAGCCACATTATGAGGTTAAAAACAATGGCTGTCAGTAGTATGCCCTCTAGCAGATATTTTGAAAAATAAACAATCTGTTGGTTCAAGATAAAGTTGATACTTTGATGAGTGAGAAAGTAACTGCTTTTCAAAAGAAGCATGCTATGGAGAGAGCTTTTTAAACATCAGTTATTTAGAAATATTTTCACAATGTGATTTTATTGCTAAAATATTTGTATGTTAATAACTTGGGAATGCTTGTTTTTGCTTCTAAAATCTTCCAGACACCTATGACTTGATTCACTTTTCAGTCTACTGAAAAGAAATGCACAGTTGTCCACCAGTATACATATACAGCAGTGTTCACAAGCAGCTATCATAACCACCAAAAACTAGAAAAGGGACAAATGTTCATCAGCAGTAGTATGGGTAAATAATCTATTTGCATAATAGAATACAACAATGAACAAACTAGATTTGGATGAATCTCACAAACATCAAATGACACAGAAGAAAGACATAACATGATTCCATTTATATAAAGTTGAAAGAAAAAGATAAAAAGAAAAAAATATTTTATATTTACCGTTTTCGATGTTTTTTGAAGATTTTATTTATTTATATTCGCCCCCCCAAAGCCCCAGTACATAGTTGTATGTCATAGCTGCACATCCTTCTAGTTGCTGTATGTGGGACGTGGCCTCAGCATCGCGGGAGAAGCGGTGTGTCCGTCCACACCTGGGATCCGAACCCCGGCCGCCAGCAGCGGAGCGGGCGCACTTAACCACTAAGCCACGGGGCCGGCCCTCGATGTTTTTTGTTATTTGTGTGGATCCAGATTTCTACCTGGTATTATTTTCCTTCTGCCTAGACTTCCTTTAAAACATTACTTCTAATGACAGTCTAATGGTGATGAATTCTCTCTGCTTTGGTATGAAAGAAAAGGCTTTATTTCACTCTTATTTTTGAAAGATAATTCTCTAGTATAGAATAGGTTGATAGTTTTTTTTTTTCAGTACTTTAAAGATACTCCTTTACTGTCTTCCAGCTTGCATTGTTTGTAACAAGTTGGCTGTCATTCTTTTTTTGTTGTTGTTATTCTGATTCTGTATGTAAGGTGTCTTTTTTCCTTTGCCTGATTTGGTTGGGGGGGGGGTTCTATCACTGGTTTTCAATAATTTGATTATGATGTGCCTTAGTGTGTTGTTTCTTCTGCTTGGGTTTTGTTGATTCTTGGATCTGTGGATATATACTTCTTATCAAAATTGGCAAATTTTCTGCCATCATTTCTCTTTTTTGTTTTTGCCATCATTTCTTGAAATATTTTCCTTCCTACTCCATCCCCCACAATCCCTTCAGGGAGTCCAGTTAGCATGTATATTAGTCTGCTTAGTGTCTCACATTCATAAAGTTCTATTTTTTTTTTAAGTCTTTGTGTATTCATTTTGGATAGTTTCTTTTGCTGTATCTTTAAGTTCATGAGTCATTTTCTTCAGAGTCTGATTATTGTTAACCCTATGAAGTGTATTTTTCGTCTCCAGAAGTTTGGTTTGGATCTTTTTTTAAATTTTTCATTTATTGCATCATCATGCTCAAGAAAGTAAAGGAAAGCATGAGTATGTGGAATATATTTAAAATAACTGCTTTAATGTTCTTGTCTGATTCTATCATCTGTATCATTTCTGGGTCTGTTTCTGTTGATTTCTTTTTTTTTTTTTCATTATGGGTTTTAATTTCCTGCTTCTTTGTTTGCCTGATAATTTTTTTTTTCTTCCTCCCCAAAGCCCCAGTACATAGTTGTATATTCTAGTTGTAAGTCCTAGTTCTGTGAGCCGCTGCCACAGCATGGCTACTGACAGATGAGTGGTGTGGTTCTGCGCCTGGGAACTGAACCCAGGCTGCTGAAGCAGAGTGTGCCAAACTTTAACCACTAGACCATCAGGGATGGCTTGATAATTTTTAATTTATATAATTTATCAGATATTGTGATGTTTGTTGGATGCAGGATTTTTTTAATTCACTTGAATATATTTTGACTTTGTTTGGGATGCAGTTACTTGGAAACAGTAACAGTAACTTCAGTCCTTTTGAAGTTTGCCTTTAAATTTTGTTAGGCAGGTCTGGAACAGTCTTCAGTGCTAATTTAACTCCATTACTAAAGTAGTATTTGATGCCATGTGTGGTAGCAGGTCTTCCTACTCTGGCTATGAGAACATGAGTTATTCCAGACCCTGTGTGTGACCTGTGAGGATTGTTCCATGTACTCCTTTCTTTCCTAGGTCTCAGTTTTCTTATGCATAAGCAGATCAGCACTTAGCTAAAGACTGGAGGGAACCCTCTGCAGATCTGTAGAGCTCACTCTCTCCTCTCTATTTTGTCCTGTAAATTCTAGCCACCTACGCCTCCCCAAACCTGGAACTTGTTCTCACTTTTGTGAGATGGACTCTGAGTTCCTCCTCTATCTTGTGGACAAAACTCTCTAGGCAGT